GATTGTTAAGGAAACTATTGTACAGTAAAACCCTAAACCCTAAACCCTAAACCCTAAACCCTAAACCCTAAACCCTAAACCCTAAACCGAGGGGGCCACAGGAGGGCGACGGGGATGCCCAAGGTGAGGAAGGCGTAGCCTTCCCAGCCGGTGTAGCCTGAGCCTGCGGTGTGGGGGGAGGCTTTTGCGGAGGGTTCAGGGTTTAGGGTTATTTCAGGAATATACCTTAAACGATATAGGGGCCCCTGGTATGATTTAAGGTACATTCCTTAATTAAGGGATAGTGGGCTCTTTGGGTTCTGGGGGTTAGGGTTCCGTCTGGCCGCATCTTACCCCCAAGAAAGCCATGAGCGTGAGAGTTCGCCAGGTGTGGGGATTGATCTTTGGGAAGACTTCAGGGTTCAGGCTTTAGGTCATTTTGGGTTTCAAGGCCTCCATCGCTTTTTGGGGGTGTAGGGCCTAAGGGGAGGGCTGCCCTAAACCCTAAACCCTAAACCCTAAACCCTAAACCCTAAACCCTGAACCCTGAACCCTGAACCCTGAACCCTGAACCCTGAACCCTGAACCCTGAACCCTGAACCCTGAACCCTGTGCCAGCCAACCTAGTGTCCGGCTCATGGGATCGCGGATCAGGTCGATGAGGACTGCCAGGACGATGCCTTTGCAAACCCTAAACCCTTCCGGCCTGAACCCCCCAGAGAGCCCAATTCCCCTTAATTAAGGAATAGACCTTCAAATAGAAAGCTTAAAATCCTTAAAATCTGATTTAAGCAGGCAGATTCCTGAATTAAGGGGTATTGGGCTCTTTGGGCCTGTAAGCCCTGAACACTGAACCCTGTAGACCTTTAAAGCCCCACAAGAACTTTAACAAGCCCTCAGAAGCCCCACGGTAGACCCAGGGCGTTGCGTGTTCGTGATGGTTTGCGCTGCCATGAGTTCGGGGCATCACGAAGCCAGGAGCAAACCGTGGGGTTTAGGGTTTAGGGTTTAGGGTTTAAGGTTTAGGGTTTAGGGGCGACTGAACCCACAACGTGTCCTAAAAGCCCGCATGGCCCGGATGGGAAGCTGCTTTAATCCCGCCGGATGCACAAGAAATTGGACAACCGTGAGCACAGCCCTGAACCCTAAACCCTAAACCCTAAACCCTAAACCCTAAACCCTAAGCCCTAAACCCTAAACCCTAAACCCTAAACCCTAAACCCTAAACCCTAAACCTAAACCCTAAACCCTAAACCCTAAAGCCTAAATCCTAAACCAACAGTCGCAAGACCTTCATGCTCCCGTATCCTGGGGCCCCCGGCCCCCCCCTAAGAGCTAAGAGGACTCCATGGTTTGGAGAGCCACACTTTCTTGGTAGCCCAGAGGGTTTAGGGTTTAGGGTTTAGGGTTTAGGGTTTAGGGTTTAGGGTTTAGGGTTTGGGGTTCCGGGTTTAGGGTTTTACAACAGGGGCACCCGTTGTGGGGTGTGTAGAAGGGAGCCAGCAACCAGAAAAAGCGTAAAGGGTAGCTCTGGGCTACCACGCTGTGCCCAAAGAGCCCAACACCCCTTACTTAAGGAATATACCTTAAGTCAGATGAAGGATCCTTATCTTCAATTGAAGCTATAATCCTTACACCCTAAACCCTAAACCCTAAGCCCTAAGCCCTAAGCCCTAAGCCCTAAGCCCTAAACCCTAAACCCTTGGGCTCGCGAATGCAAGTTGCCCAGCGCGGCACCGAGGACGGTCTCGAGGACGAGGTCGACGACTTGTTTTAACTTTGGGGCCTGGGCTCGAAACTTTTGTAAACCTCTACAACCCTAAACCTTAAAACCTGTAAACCTTCGACCCCTAACCCCTAAACCCTAAACCCTAAACCCTAGCCCTAAACCCTACATCCTAGACCCTATAAGTCCTTTGTAAGTTCACGACTGACGTGGGCCGAGGATTCGCAACACCTTTACATTACTATGTGCTTAGGGTTTAGGGTTGGGATGTTCCCCCTTGTACTCTCAGTCCTACATCGGGATTATAATGGAGGATACTATAACCCCTATTGAAGGCTGTTAGTGCAAGGGGGAACATCCCAATGTATATCCATTTTCTTACTTGACTCGGCACTACCTACATGCGTGCTTCCAAAAACTTCCGCCCTCAGGGGTTTACTTCCCAAAATGGGCGTACCCCTACAATGTACTCATCTTCTCATTCAGAGCCCCCCCCCCCCCCGCCCTGTTTTGGAAACCCTCTTCTTCATCTAACCCCCCAGAGATACCATTACTTCGGCTTTAGCGTGCAAGGCTGGGAGACTTAGAAAACAGAAAGGCAGTCAAGTGTCCGCGGAGCGCGCCGCAAAAGCCCATAGGAGGCAGCCTTGGGTGTTTTTTAAAGGGGCGTTTAGGGATCTAGGGGTTTAGTAGGGTAGGAAGTGGGGCTACTTCGGTATAAAGGGCCTTTTCAGGTACATACCTTAATAAAGTTTTAAAATAAAAACCTAAACCCTAAACCCTAAACCCCTTTCAGAGGCCCATCTTGTTGCAATCCCTGCGACAGCATGAGATCACTATCTTCTTCTCGACTTGTCGCCCGGCTGAGACACGCAGCCACTCGGCGCCTGAGCCGTAACTGTTTTTTACACTTAAAGTTTAAAGTTTAGGGTTTAGGGTCTAGGGTTTAGGTTTTAGGGTGCTAGGAAAAACTGTTTGCACTGTCTTCTAGGATGGCTTGGGAGGTCCCCCGCCCTATACTAGCAGCTCCTTGATAGGGATTAGAATCATGGGCACTACAATCCCTAAACCCTAAACCCTAAACAATCCCTATTAAGGATTGTTAGTATAAGGGGTAACATCCCAAAGGATGGACCTTAAAAGGCTCCGAAGAACCTTCCTAAGTATAATCGTCCTAGACCCAATGAGGGCATGTGTGACATATCCGAGGGTTTAGGGTTTAGGGTTTAGGGTTTAGGGGGGTTCAGGTGAAGGCGAGCATGCCTGTTCCGTGGATCTTGAGAAAGAACGGCCGTGTCATGGCCGAACATCCTCCTGACCCCAAAAGCAGCCGCTGAGCAGCAAGTTTAGGGTTTAGGGTTTAGGGTTTAGTTTAGGATCCAGGGGGTTGCAGTTCGTGGAAAGTTGACAAGAACAACTTGACAGTGGTATCCGACGGTGCTTCCCTAACCCAAACTCTATGCCCGAACCCATTTGACCCCCCCCCCCCAAGCCCTGTAAACCCTAGACTCGATGAGAGACGATGATCATGATCAGATCAAACAGGAAACGTCCCAGATATGATCCTCTTAAGCCCAACAATGGAAAACGTAAAATATCCCAAGGGCCTTCCTAAGCTTTTAGCTGAAGGGGAGAGAGGGAGGGAGGGAGAGAGAGAGAGAGAGAGAGCGACAGAGAGACGAAGGGTTTAGGGTTTAGGGTTTAGGGTTTAGGGTTTAGGGTTTAGGGTTTCGGGTGAGGTTCATCTGAGGGGCCGATCGCTGCCTGGGCAGCGAAGGCGATGACGGCCAGGAAGGCGCCAAAGGCTCGCTGGTACAAGCGGTGACCACAGAAGGTCCTCGGCAGGAGAGGGGCCCCTATCCTAACAGTCCTTAAGAGGGATTCTAGTACACCCCCTACTATAATCCCTAGTAACTTAGTAAGGACTGTTAGTATAAGAGGGAACATGCCAAGTTTTGGGGGTGTAATTTGGTAGTCTTCAACAAATTGAGGCACGCGGGCTCTCAGGATGTGTGCAGGGTATTTGGGCTTCGCGGAGTGGCAGATTACCGGCCACCTCTGTTGGTTAACCCTAAACCCTAAACCTGAAACCCTAGCTTTTTGGCTTTTCGGTTACACCTCAGCCCAAAAGCAAGGTGCTCAGAAGGAGGGTGTCTTCAAGTAGACATCTCCAGGTATACGATCTGCGGCTTGGAGCGGCTCGGCCTTTCAAAACCTTGAAAAAATGGGTTTAGGGTTTAGGGTTTAGGGTTTAGGGTTTAGGGTTTAGGGTTTAGGGTTTAGGGCTGGAACCCCTGCGAAAGACAGCAGCGCAGATCCTTCCGAGAAGACGTGCCGGCTCATGTCTTCTTGAGAACTCCCTCCAGCTTCTTGGGGCAAGGCTTAGGGGCTTGCGTTTAGGGTTTAGGGTTTAGGGTTTAGGGTTTAGGGTTTAGGGTTTAGGATTTAGGGTTTCGGGTTTAGGGTTTGGGGGTACCCCTGCGCCCAAGAGGCAATGCGAGCCCGAGCACGCAAAGTACGGCAGAGAAGATGACCAGCCATACCTGAGCGGAGAGGGTAGCCGTTGGGCAAACCCTCATCCGGTTTAGGGTTTGGGGTTTAGGGTTTGTTGCATCCAGGCCTTCATGCTGCTGGGACATGTAAGCAACCAACCAGCAACCAGCACCAAGACTACCGCCCAGATCTTCCAAAACCCCTTAGGTAAGGAGTATACCCTGAGTTATACGAAGGATCTTTATTTTTTTATTATGAATCAGGGTATATTCCTTAATTGAGGGGAAGATCTAGGCAATTAAGCCGGGCCAGTAACAACTGCTTTTCATTGTTTTTAACCTGTGCTGAGGCCTAGGCATGTACCTATCCTGAATGAACCCCAAATCTGTAAAGATTAAGCCCTAAAGGCCAAAACCCCAAAACCCTAAAACCCCTAACCAGCGGAAGGTTCTCAAGGTTTTAGGATGAGAGTTTCGGGGGAGAGCTCAGGGATTTTCAATCAACGGGCTTTAGCCCACAAATCTCCCCCCACACCCTCCCCGGCCCCTCGCGCACTGAATGCTAGATATTCCTTTGCCGTGTTTTTGCAACAATTTGGGAAGCTGCCGCGGCTGCAGCGCTCGCCTGCTCGGCAAAGAGGCCCCGTGGTCCGCCCTACGGCCACTCGAGGCTTCCAGTGAAGTCTTCCGGTGGAGAAGGTGAGCAAGGTCACGGGAGCGAGCCTATGGCAAGCATGTGCACGTTGCGGAAGCCCGAGAAGGAGTTGAGAAAACAAGCGGCCAGGTTGCCACAGCTCTCTCTATCAGGACGAGGCATCCTTGGCAATGAGAAAGTTCGCTTGGACCAGCATCTCCACAAGAACTTTGGTACTGAGAAAGGGTTGGTACCTGGGAGGGCTCTTAAAGGCCTCTGACAACATATTCCTTCAATAGGATCCTCTTCAACCCCAAGGGAAATTATGAGAACTATCCCCAAGGGCCTAGCAAGGTACTGACTTTGGGAAGTGGGTATGGTCCTCTTAAACCCAAGGAAAGGGAAAGCTCATCCTAAACCCTAAACCCTAAACCCTGTTTTGAAACCCTAAACCCTAAACCCCAAACCCCAAACCCTAAACCCTAAAACCCTAAACCCTAAACCCTAAACCCCTAAACCCCAAGGTACTGATTCTCGGCGGTGGGTTTCTCGGGATCCTGGCCCTTGAACTCGTCCGCGCGCTCCTCGTCGCAGAAGACCAAATATGCGGCTTCGTTGCCTTAGCTGTTGAGTTCACAACCCCCCCCCCAAAAAAAAAAAAAAAAAGTGTACATCTTCAGTTCAACAAAAAAGGATTGTGGTAATCCCAAAAAGTGTAACGTGTACTCATTCACCCTAAACCCTAAACCCTAAACCCTAAACCCTAAACCCTAAACCCTAAACCCTAAACCCTAAACCCTAAACCCTAAACCCTAATTCAGCTACTCAGTTGCTGAGGTTGGCCTGGACCCAGTTGAAGATACAGCCTCGGTTTATGAGCCGATTGGCCTCCGCCGACTGGTTGTTGATGTCCGCAAGCAACGTCTGTAGCCTTCGTAGCCCAGTTAGGGTGTAGGGTTTAGGGTCTTAGGGTCTTAGGGGTGCAGGGTTTTAGGGTTTTAGGGTTTATAGAGTTTAGGGCATAGGGTTTTTCTGTAGCCTTCGTAGCCCAGTAACCAAACTACTTGGTTGAGGGTCTAGGGCTCTTCGCAGCCCAGTAAAAACAATAATGTAACCAAGGGTACCCGTTTTTGGCATTGGTTACGTGACAAGGGAGCCCAGCTTCAACCAAAAAGGGCAAGAGGGTCAACCACCGGTTGGCTCCCTTTACTGAGCTTGGAACCCCAGCACAAAAGTAGCTGTTCTTCGGCATTGCAGTACACCAAAAATTTAAAAAAAACATTCCCAAGAATCCCTAAGTACCAGGTAGCCACTCAGTGACCGACATCTCACGCTGCAGCGCCTGCAGCAGCCGCGGCTTCTTCAAGGCCTTCTTCCTCTCCAGCTCTTCCCAGACTTGGCTCAGGTAGCGGTCGTTCTTTGCCTTGGTACCCCAGGAAGCATGTCATAAAAAAACAAAAAATAAGTTATAATAAGTTATAATAAGCTATAATAAGTTCTAATAAGTTATAATGTATAATAAGTTATAAGTAGGGGTACCCGGTTGTTGAGGGTTGGGTACTGTATTAGGGGAAGCTTGAAGCAAAACTAAGGGCAAAGGGCACGGCTGGGCTAGCGAGTTGCGGCATCCAGGCCATCTAAGCCGAAGTCCTCCCCGATGTATGCCACATACCCGCTAAAGAGATGTGGCCTCTGCTGCTGTGGCTGTACTTGCGTGTGATCAAGATCGCAGCCCTTGTGCTTGTCCGTGATGAAGCGGTTCAGGGCCACCTCTTTCTGTCTGAGCAAAGAGTACTTCAGCTGTTGCTCAAAGGTCTGATTCTGAGAGGTCAGATCCCCATAGATCCGCAAAATCTCCCGGGCTTGTACTTGCTGACAGTCTTCACAGGCATGTACCAGCGTAGTGATGATACTCACGCGCTTGGGATTCTTGGGCTCCAACTTATGCATCTCTGACATGATATAGCGAAAGGCCGGCCGAACCTCCGTGTTCACCGGCGAGCACGGTGGACCGAAGGTCCAGAGTCCTTGCGAAAAGCAGTTTGAGAGGATCCCTATATGATTTAAGGTATATTCCTTAATTAAGCAATATTGGGCTCTTTGGGAAGGCCCAGAGTCCTTGCGCAAAGCAGTTTGAGAGCATGCGGGTGACCTTCTGCTGCCCGCGCTCTCCCCGCATCTTTGCTGCTTGCGGGTGGGAGGCCACCACCATCCGGACCTATGCTGAAGAACCCTGGCAAAAATCACATAATCTTGTCTGTTTCTTAGAGGTTGAAGTGCCCAAAAACTGAAGATTATTCCCAAGTATCCCCAAGGGACCACATCGTTGGCGGACAGCAAGGTCGTCCTATCCGAGGCCTCCGCGGGACTGCGCGATGCGATTGGCCCGAAGGCTGCCGGGCCAAAGGCGAACTTCTCGGCCAAGGACGCCACACTGAGACCACCATCGGGGTGTTCCACATTCACCTATGCTCCCCCTAGAACCTTAATAAGAAACACTATTTTGAATATCCTCTTTTGGGTTGTATATAAACAAAAACAAAAAATAATTCTCAAAAAGGATATAGTCACTGACACTCCATGCTCGTTCCTTCCCTCGCTTCCCTGGATTTCGGAGTGCCGAGAGCGCCGCGCGCGCTTGCGCGGTGGCTCGTGGTCGGTCGTGTCAGCTGCCAAAGGGGGCGGGTCTTCCACGGATTCCACGGCCACTGGCGGAGTAGCCGAAGACTGGTTTCGTTGCGACGAACTTGCATCCGCAGCCACGGCACCGTCCTGCTCGAGCAAGAGTGCCTCAGCAGCAGCTTCCAGGGAACCATGGATTGACAAAGCACCTCTGGCTCTCATCTCGTCAAAGCCCATGGCCAACAGCTCCGCCAGCGGCTCCGCCAACGCTGACGTCGCCCCTTCTGCTTCCACTGACTCTGCTGGTAGCGGAGGTGGGTTTGAAAGGAGCATGTCCGCCGCAGCCTCCACGCTATTCTGGCACAGCAAGAGCGCCTGCTTCGCCAAAGCTGCAGGAAATCCCATCGCTACTAACTCCTCCATGTTGGAAACACTCACGCTGCCCCGGGAAAAAAGGTAAAAGTAGCGGTAGTGGTAGTGGTGGTAGTGCTGGTAGCGGTGGCAGTGGCAGTGGTAAGTATAAGTAGCAGCAGTAGCAGTAGCAGTAGCAGTAGCAGTAGCAGTAGCAGTAGCAGTAGCAGTAGCAGTAGCAGTAGCAGTAGCAGTAGCAGTAGCAGTAGCAGTAGCAGTAGCAGTAGCAGTAGCAGTAGCAGTAGCAGTAGTAGTAGTAGTAGTAGTAGTAAGTAGTTAGTAGTAGTAAGTAGTAGTAGTCGTCGTCGTCGTCGCGTCGTCGTCGTCGTCTTCGTCGTCGTCGTCGTCGTCGTCGTCGTCGTCGTCGTCGTCGTCGTCGTCGTCGTCGTCGTAGTAGTCGTCGTAGTAGTAGTAGTAGCAGTAGTAGTAGTAGGAGTAGTAGTAAGTAGTAGTAGTAGTTGTTGTAGTTGTAGTTGTAGTTGTAGTCGTCGTTGTCGTGGTAGTAGTATACTTGAGCCCCATGCAAGGATGCATGCAGGAATGCAAAGCTCCGACTTCCATCGAAGCATCAGGTCGCTAGCTAGACGACGGTCCTTGTCCGCCATGAGCAGATCCCATGAGTAAAAACCACCCAAGAACGTCGCCCTATGCCTCGAAGAACTGCTGCATGCACTGCTAAGAAAAACCCGTAGCAAAATCCCTCAGCGTTGCCAAGCCACATCGCAGGAGGACAGAACAACAAAAACCTCGTTCATGGGCACCATGGCTGGCTCTCGTGGCCCGAGCGGGCGTCAAGGTAAGTGCAAAAGGCGCTGGGCTGGGGTGCCACTGTGGGAGTGGCCATTTGGCTTGGTGATTTCAGGCTGAAACTTGCAAGGAGCGGGTTAGAGTTTGGGGTTCAGGGCTTGTTCATCTACTCTTGGGACTAACAGCCTCATCTCCTAGTACCCTCCACGAGGCTGTATGTCGCGGTGGAAGCGCATGTCGAAACTCAGAGGTGTGGAAGGATCGGGGCTTAGGCCACGTCTATAACGCGTCTCTCACTGACGGGATGGTCGCACGAAGCACCCATTATAAGGGCATAGTGCCCCGTATGTTCAACATACCAACTCAGCTGGTGAGTCGTGAGCACAGGAAGACATAGCACAGGAGGCGAAACGGATGTCTTGCAAGTACCAGTTCTTCCTCAGCCTATTCCCTAGCCATAGCTCATAAAAGAAGCGCTTGAACTCAAGCGGACCGTAAAGGAATGCGTTTTCGCTTGAAGGTCGAACGGACAATTCGGTTCTCCTGAATTCCCCCAAATCATCCAAGGCCGAGGAGCTTCCCAAAGTGTGTAGGGTCGTGAGTATTGCGACTGAATCTGGGAGTATGAATACTAATCCAGAATATCTTTCGTAGATATCAGACACCCAACCGGCAAGTTCTTCCCACGGACATTGCGTTCAAGCAGGGGTGCTGGGTTGGTTGTCCTTGAAGCCCCAATAACCTACCATTTGCTCGAGACACCCCAAAAAACACAGATTCTTCCTTTTGGGGGGGGTATATATACATATGTACGGGTCACATATATATATATATACACATAAAAAGTGATTGTCCCCAAACCCAAGGGAACAACCTTAGGGGTCCAGGGTAGTCCCACAAAGCGGGCCTGCCTTGATAAGGCTTGAGAACCCCCCCCCCCCCTCCACCATGAATAAATTCTTCCTGAAAAGTGCAGTATCGAGATTAATGCATGTACATATATATATATATACATATGCATATACATATATATATATGTATAAATATATATATGTATTTATTGTTAATTACGAATGTATACACCCGCCTAATTGACTGAAAGTCGCGTGGGGTTTAGGGCTCAGGGTTTAGGACTGTGGCTCAGTTTTCCGGGAAGGCTTTGGGTTTTGAAAGGGTGGATCCTGCCCTGCCGCAACATATCAAGCTTACCTGCTCAGAAAACGTTGTTTGAGATGGAGTAGCCTACAACACGCCCCCCCCCCCCCCCCCCCGCCCCCTCCCCCCCCCCCCCCCCCCCCCCCCCCCCCCCCCGCCCCCTCCCCCCCCCCCCCCCCCCCTCCCGGCCTCCTTCCCGGTTGGTTCCTTTTGAAGCTCTCTACGAAAAAAGACATTCCTAAGTATCATCCTCTTAAGCCCCCGAGTACCTACCAGTCGCTGAAGGACCACCCAAAAAACACAAATATTCTTCCTTTATATCTATCTATACACACATATACATATACGTACATATACATATATATATATATGTATATACATACGGGACGATTGCTTTGTTTAAATGTTATTCTGTTCTTCTTCTTCTTCTGATTATTACTTTGATATTAATAATAACAATCTTAATCATCATAAACTATGCTTACTGTTATAATTATCATATTACTATATTATTATTATGATTATTATGATTATTGATTCCTTCTGCTTGGGGGGCTCGAAAGCAAGTCGTAGTAACACCACGAAAGAAAACAGAACAAAGCAGCAACAACAGAAAAGGCCATATAAGGCATCTAAGTTAGGTTGGCCCATATAAGCTCTCCATGCCTGCTTAGGCTGTCCCAGACCCAAAGAGTCCATTCTTCGCCATGTCTCCGTGTTCATGAACGGCAAAATTCCACCACGTGCATGTGACGTGTCGGGCAGCGTGAGCTGAGGACCGAACCAGGCATCCCGGCCATGGGGCCGATAGCCAAGTCCTCAGCAAAAGGGAGCCCTAAACCCTAAACCCCAAACCGCAAACCCTGAACCCCAAACCGCAAACCCTGAACCCTAAACCCTAAACCCCAAACCCTAAGCTTTAAACCCTAAACCCTAAACCCTAAACCCTCCATCCTAAGCGCTTGGGACTTTGTGCTTCGGCTCAGATCACCAATAGTGTGTCGCAATGCCGCTGAAGCTGCGCCCTTCCGCGAGAAGACCCCGGCCGATCAACGAGCAAACGTTGAGCCCCTAAACCCTTTTGAGCAACGGACTTTGGGGCCCCTAAACCCTAAACCCTAAACTCCTAAACCCTAAACCCTAAACCCGTAAACCCCTAAACCCTAAACCCTAAACCCCCCAACTCTTCCGAACTTTGGACCCAATGTCAGGGTCCCATTCAGTCTAGCATTCTCAAGGCATGGGAACTGAGAAGGGGCAAAACGTCGTGCTTCCTTGGCCTCCTGAATTGTCACTGTAGTCTCCTAGAAGCTCCACAGGGCCATGTCAAGAGCTGGGGTTTAGGGTTTAGGGTTTAGGGTTTGGGGTTTAGAGTTTAGGGTTTAGGGTTTGGGGTTTGGGGTTTAGGCTTTAGGGTTCAGGGTAGCTTGTGGCAGAAGATGAACAAAGCGACTCCGGGTTCCGGGCTTCGCCTCCAGAAGAAAACCGCAATGCAACACGTGAGCAACGCAAACTCGGATTTGGTGCTAACAGAAGGAACACTTAAGCTAACAATGAAGCATACGTGCACACATACATATATAACTATAAATATAAATATAAATATAAATATAAATAAAAATATAAATATAGATATAAATATACATAGACATGTACATGTACACATACATGTACATACATACATACATACATACATACATACATACATACATACATACATACATACATACATACATACATACATACATACATACATACATACATACATACATACATATATATACATATGCACACATACTACATCTATACATCGCGTATGTGCACATAAACCCTGCAAGCTACATGCCCTAACCGACTCCCCCGCCCAAAAAAAAGCCACACGCCCACACCCGGACAGAGAGACGCTAAACCCTAAACCCTCTAATTCCTGGAACCCTGAACCCTGAACCCTAAACCCTGAACCCTGAACCCTAAACCCTAAACCCTAAACCCTAGGCAGCAAGAAAGGAGAGGCCACGGACTCCGGGAATCCCTGCCGCCATGCCAACGCCCAGCCCAATACTCTCCATGTTGGGCCTTGACTCTTTCGGGGCCTTCCGGCGGGGCGTTTAGGGTTTAGGGTTTAGGGTAAGGGTAGGGGTTTTAGGGTTTAGGGCTTAGGGCTGAGGGTTTAGGGTTTACGGCTTAGGGTTTACGGCGTTTACGGCTCAGGGCTGAGGGTTTACGGCCCTTGCATCGACTCGGGGGTAGGGGGAACGTTTTGGGCTTTGGGGCGTTTGGGGGGGTTGGGGGCTCTGGCTTTTGGAGCTTTTGGGGGGTTCACCTCCTCGTGGCTTTCGGAGTTACCCAAAGAGCCCAATATTGCTTAGTTAAGGAATATACCTTAAATCATATTAAGGATCCCTATATGATTCAAGGAATATTCCTTAATTAAGCAATATTGGGCTCTTTGGGTACAGGGTCCTGAGCAAGGGAAGCAAAGAGGCTATGAAATCCTTATAACGGAGGTTTCGAATTCTAGGGTCTTTATAACGGAGGGGGTATGAGATCCTTATAACGAGGCCAAAGGATTTTTCAATTGTGGATATGGGGGTGCTTTTTGGGGGTGGCCTTTCGCAGCTCATTCTCCTCCTGCCCGGACCCTTAAAAGGATCCAAAAAGTAGATCGTTTAAGGGTTCAAAAAAAATGCCCGGTAGATAGCAGCAGATGGTACTATTTGGGGGCTCTACTTTTTAGATCCTCCCATTTCTCTGGGTACTTGCTCCACCACCCTAAACTCAAAACTTAAACCCTAAACCCTAAACCCTAAACCCTAAACCCTAGACCCTAGACCCTAGACCCTAGACCCCGACTCCCTCCTCAACCTGGCACAGATGGGCTTTGGGTTGGGGAGCCTGCTGAGGTTGCTGAGGCACAGCTCTGCCGGTTCAGGGTTCCGGGGGTTTACGGTTTAGGGTTTAGGGGTGCTTGGGGTGCATAGACAGAGAGTTCAGGACTCAGGGTGTAAGGTCTGGGGCTTGGGGCCCAGGATTCCGAAAGCCCTGAAGTGGCGGCCAACTGGCCCCAGCCGAGGCGCATTCCCATGCCCATTCCGCCCACGCTG